TGAGCGACGGAGACACTCGAAAGTAAAACTACTCGCCGGCATGGCTGCCGATGGTCCCCTTTCTTTGGTTTGCTTAGAAGCAAGCCGGAAACAGGCTCGAAATTATAGTGGCATGTGGCAGTACCAATTTACCATCAAACGGATGAACGAATCGTAGAAGGACTGTTTTTCCCCAAATGCGTTCGAATCCCTGATTTTCAGGACAGCAGCGCTACTTACCACTGCGCCATGCCTTTTAATTTTTATTTTTCTGTAATGCGCAGACAAAGGCCTACGCGGCCGTAGGGGGTGCGTTGTGGGAGCATTCGCCCAGATCAATAAACAAAGCTTTGTTAAAACAATCACAAAAAAAAAAGCTCACAAACCGCGCAAGATCCGGCAGCAGCTTCAAACTGCTGCCGCACAATACTTTGACGCACAAAAACAATCCCCTAGTTCATTTCATTTCACGGAGGGGGAACTCGAGTCATGAGACGGGACCTTTGCATGTTAGATGGAATCGAAGGACAACTGGGCAAAGCGAAAGGGTTTAGCCACCAGCTTCCTTTCCTTGCTGCTCATACCCTCTTCGTTTTGCAACATTTCAGAAAAATAAATTTCATGAAAGATTCACCTGCAGAGCACGCATAACAAGGCTAAATGAGTGTTTGTTCGGATCGAATATTTCTGTCTTCTTATTAGCAATAGTATTACGTGATTTAGCAATCATTAGCTTCATATCTGGATCACGAACGTGCGGCTCATTTATTTCAGACCATTCCACTTCCTCCAGAGCCCTCCAGCCAGATCTGCCTCGCCTTTAAATTCATTTATCATAATATACTGCTACGCTTGATAAGAGCACATAAAGGAGGGATCGTGTAATGAGCAACATGTTATGATTCAAATTATCTAAAGGCAGTGAAAAGAAGTGGTTCGATTTCTTCCAGCGTTCAAAATTACTCGCCGAAAAAGGGTTTTTCGAACATTTTTGTATCTGTTACATATAAATTTCACTCCATACTGTCTACGTTTTTACGTATTTTATGCAGCACACGTACTTTTTTCAATTCTTGCCGGTTTTTCGTGGGTATCCACGACAAAAATTTGACGTCCTATAGATTATTAAAAATATTAATGGGCCTACTACAAACTAAACAGTCACATACCGGATATGAGTAGTAGACAAACGATAGCCATGCGGTTGGGGCAGTTTGTGCAACCAAACAATACAAATTTCACCATTTTTTTTCAATTTACACGTAAAATCAACGAAAATTCCACCCTGGAAATATGTTATTATTAATATTAAACAGACTGAAATGATAATCCTAGGGCTAAAATTGTTCGCATTTTTCTAAAACAGGTACCTGGCAAGTTTTCAAATCCATGCTGCTCACCCTACTATAACTGTACAAACCTACTGCCTTCTTGAGGGTTTTCCAAACAATCACTTCGTTTCATTGGCGGACCAAGGATAGGGGGAAACGAGGGACCTTTCGCACTCCCCCCCCCCC